TCATTTTAATTAATTAATTTAAGTATTTTTACATTTTGGAAACAGAAATCATAATTTAGTGTTTTATTTTGTCTTATTGAAATGTACTACTTCATATTTATGAAACATTATTCATACCACCAGTGCTAGACTGCGATTACAGTAACGACATTGATAAAAATATACTCCCAGACATATGGACACTAACATCATCCTCAACACACACATTTTGATGTGATGGATGTGTTTTTCATGGGTGGTCTGTCATACAACCCGCTGCAACCCCCCACACAAACACACACACACACTGACACACATGCTGTCTGCCAAGAACATGATTGGCACATATGGCACAGTCTTTTTCCCTTACATGCACACGAACAATACAGTGTCTCATCATCAAATGCAAACAGTGTGACAACTCATGCTGTTGCACTCATTAGCTGCACATATGAAGCATTTTGCACTCAGCCAGACCCGTAAGGTCTGCATCTTTAGAAATGCAGGAAAAACATGCTTATATCAGCAGTAAAATTGTCTGCGTAAGAGATGTGTCTCTCCAGAGCAGGTGAAAGAAATTAAGTGTTTTTGCCTGAAGGTGGTTCCAGAGGAGTTTGACTTCTCGGCCAAACAGCAAATTTGAACTGTAAGATTTCCTGCAAGATGAACATGAACATCTCTCCACCTGTCACAAGCAAGCTGTCAATCACACACACACACACACACTCATTTTTTGAAATGTGTAGTTGAAAATGAAGTCAATTTGCTGTGGTTTTGTATTTGTCTTCACAGCTGACTATAAAAAAAAAGGAAAATATTTTGAGATGTTTATATTAATATCATTTACTATGCAAGCTACTTTATTAGAAATATTGTTTTGAATTAGAGTGTAAAATCATTACTTTAAGAAGTTCACTTTTACCTGATCAAATTATTTTACCATTGTAACATACTGTAGCCAGATTGATTAAAATCAATAAAACTGTAAATGTTACCATATGAACTACATTTTTAAGGTTGCCTGACAAAACTTTTACCCCCAGTTCCCTTTCAGTCGGTCACTCCCGACGTCACGTCGGCTGACCGACGAAATTGGGATCTCGCTTAGAGAGGGGACGCAAAGCTTCAGGACCTCAGACCAGCTCTTTGTCTGTCACGGAGGCCGGCAGAAGGGGAATGCCGTCTCTAAGCAGAGGATGGCCCACTGGATAGTGGATGCCATTACCCTGGCTTATCAGGCACAGGGTGTGCCCTGCCCGCTCAGGTTGCGAGCTCACTCAACTAGAGGTGTGGCATCCTCCTGGGCGCTGGCTCGTGGCGCCTCGCTGGCAGATATCTGTAGAGCTGCGGGCTGGGCGACCCCTAACACGTTCGCTAGATTCTATAGCCTTCGTGTGGAGCCGGTATCCTCCTGTGTTCTCACCTCAAACGGGTAGAGGCACTGAGAGGCCCCGGCTTCGGGTCGGCTTGCAAAACCACTCCAGAGAGTCCATATAGTAGGCCCTGTTGAGTTCCTCCGTCCCCTCGGCAGCCAGACGTGGCGGAGCGTCCGGCGCCAGGCCTTCACTCGCTGAATCCTTGAGAACCGGTAGAAGGCTGGGGTCCATATGCAAGACCTAAACGGATCCCATATGTGTAAAGTCCACGGTATAGCCTTGAGCCCGTGTTTCCACGGCAGACGTCTGCCATTCCAAAGAGGGTTCAATCACCTCCTTTGTTTTTCCATATGCACCTAAGGGATGTCATATGTGTATTGCTTCCGAAACCTCCCTCGGGAAGGTTCGAGCTTCCGCAGCGTCCCTGTTCCTCCTTCAGGTAACGAGGGTTACATACGTAACCGAGACGTTTCACAGACAAGGCTCAAGTCTAGTCCCAGACTAAAAAACATGTCAGCTGTTTTAACTGAAAGAAACTTGCACGGACATATCTTAAAATATACATCAGTGCCACTGTTTTTTTCTAAGGGACGTTTATCAAAGATACTAATTGAACTATGCCCTAAACCTTAGTCTAAGCCCTGACTGTGAAACTAGGCCTTAGAGTGTAGAATCAACATGTTCCATTAATAACTAATAATTCTGGTTCTTCAGCGGTTCTTTAGGGTGGTTGAGGAGCCATATAGCACCGCTACCATACAAAGAACCTGTTAAACCCCCGTAGAGTTCTTTAAAGGTTCTCGAAGCATAAAAGTGATTCAAAACAGCTTTTGCAATTGTAGTAAATTCCCATTCATAGCATTCATATGAGAGTGGAGTAACATATCTAAAATCTGAGGAGAAAGGGATTCCTCTTATGGCACCATTTGACAAAGGCGCTGTATAGCACCTTTAAAGATAGGTGCTATATAGCACTTAAAGTGGTTCCCCTATGATTACAAGCCAATGAACCATTTTTAGTGCTATTTAACACCATTTTTTTGTTTAGAGTATAGTTCTTTAGAAAACCTTTACTTTTAAGAGTGTAAAGTTGTTTTGCATGGCTTCAAAACTTGCCACCATTATGCTAGGGTGTTTGTGGGTGATTGCCAGGGCATAATGACAATAAGCTGCATGATATTATTAATGTCCACAGCAAGAACAATGTGGGTTGAGCTACATGCCTGAGTTTATTGCTTTGGGTTTATATTCACCTTAGCTATGATTAAATTGCGATCCTGACTGTTATATAATTGGAAATATGATCGTAATAATGAGGCTTATTTAAAGTATACACGTCTGCAAAAGGTCATGACCCCAGGATTTGTTGAGCTGGGATGAAAGAGACAGTTCTCATTCTCCTCTCTAAACATCATTCTAATTCTCCTTTCATTCGACAGCCTATCACACCCACACCATTCCTCTCCCACACTCATTCATCTTTCCTCTTGTCTCATTCGCTCTTTCTTTATTCCTCCCCTTAGGTCCTTTTCCTCCCCTCCCATCTCTCTCTTACTATTTATTCATTCAATCTCTGTCTCATTTTCCTTCTATTTTTCTCTGCCAGGTTCTCTCACCTGGGTTTCTTGATTCCTGAAATCTAATTTTCCTTCCTGTGGAAAGTGGTTCTCAAACTTTTTCAGGTGGTGGACTCCAACAAAGATTGCAGACCACTTTACACTTCTAAAAACAGGGGAAACCACCAACTACATCAAGAATTACCTGCAGTTTGATGTAAAAATTGCCCTTTAAATTACTTTTTTAATCTGAAAACAGCATAACATTAATACATTTTATAGCATTTTATATTTTGTTATTATTTATTTTATATTGCTATTTTATATCCTTTTATATATTATTTATATATTTTATTAATACATAATTTTATATATAATTTTTTTCTGCTGTTTTGTTTATTTCACTGAAACAGCTATGTTAAGCTAATGAACCGAAATAAGACTATCACACATTTATGTTAACAAAATTGTTTCATGCATTAATGTTAATCAATTAATCAATGAATTAAATAAATGTTTGTGCTTTTTGTAAATTATAATTCTATTTATTTAGGTCTATTTTTTAGCAGGTCTACAGACCCCTATTTGAAAAGCACTCTTCTCATCAAGTTCATCATCACACTCCACCTTCATCACCTCATTTCTGTCTTCCTCCTCCTCTCAAATCCATTCATCCTTCCTGACCACCTATGTCGACGTGGGTCTACCGGTCACGACTCTTCAACTGTATGTGTGTGTGTATATGCAGATGGATTGTTCTTAGACCCTTGTGTCCCTTAGTGTGATCAAGCTGGCTTAATGAGCACTTAATTAAACTCTTATTGAGGAGGTGGATTTAGAAAAGGAAGAAGATAAAAGTAGTACGAGCAGAAACACTGGCACAGTGGAAATTCTCACACTCCTAAGGAAAATTCACACCTGTGATGAAGTGCGTGTGTGAGATGGAGAGATAAATGGGTCCCTAATTCTCAGACAGAAGGACAGTGTGTTCTTGATCAGCAGGTCTTGGCTGAAGTTTCTTAATTATGCCTTAATTAGCACAGTTGCTTCGTTAAACCACTTCCTCTTCCAAGGCTGTAGTAGCAGTAGTAGCAGCAGTAGGACCTCTCATATCCGCAAATTTAATTACTCCCTCATTCCAGTTCATTACCATCACAGGGTCAAAAGGTGATGGCCTTTAAACCTCAGTGTGTTTGCTGAGATTTTGTAAATAACGTTGTCAGATGGTGTGTATCTGCAGAACATTTAATGGGTCGTGATCGCGCAAGAACTTTAGTTTTGACTGCAAAGAGAATGTGAATGTACTGAATGATGACATAGCTCATTTAAAAAAAAACATAAATTTTGCAATTTATTCAAGTAAACCAAAGTCATCTTAAAGCTTTCAAGTGTAATGGCTGCACCTCTAGTGGCATTAAATAGAATTATAAAAATAAAAGTCATTGCCATGATTAAAAGGTGTTGATATGTGATTGCCAGGGAGTTCTGGGGGAGAAAAGCACTCTTTATGATTTTTTTTCTCCCTTCTTCTTGCAGGCAAAAGTCTGACTGCATAAAAGTAAAAGTACACCTCTCCTCATCAAGACTAAATTTGAGGTACAATTCATGCCCCGTAGCACATTTCAGAATGAGTTGCATGGCACAGTTTATATTTAGAGTTAAGGGTAGTGGTATTTTATACTGCAAAAATGTTTTTTTTTTTCCCTTAGGATAAAATCATTAATAGAACATTTAAAATAGAAAAAAAAGATAGAAAAATTAAGAGAAACGTGTTTTTAAAAACGAATAAAAAAGACAAAAACACATAACCAAAAGTCTAAAACTTAAGCTTAAATGTAAAAGTCTTGTTTTCTGCAAAATGTATCAAAATTAAATGACTTTATACTTAAAACAGGGGGGGGGGTAATGCCAATGGGGTGTAAAAAAAAAGAAAGAAAAAAAGGTGGGCAGACATTTTTTCCTGGTTAAAAACCAAATGCAAGCAACCTGTCAAGGCTCCTTTTTACCCCACCACTGAATGTTTGACATTCATTATATTTTATTTGACATTCATTATACAGTCAGCAGAGACTCTGAAAATCTGACTCACCGTTGTTGGTGCGCATTGACCTGCCAGAGATGCCGTTAGATCCCATAGGGTGGTGGCCTCCTCCTCGGTCCACACCCCCGGGCTCACCTGGCTGTTTCAGCAGTTCCGTCAGGGCCCTAAAAAGAGAAGGGTTTGTACGCCATCAGTTTCTCAGCAGGGTACTTGGCAAATAAGGGTGAGCGATACAACCCAGACATGAGCCCAGGCCAGTGTTTTGCATTCGGTCCAAGTCACGTCTCACTAATTCAACTCGTTTGCCTTCAAGTCTTAGATACCTGGCATTACGTGTCTTGAGGAAAGGAATGAACTTGAGATTTCTGCTAATAGTGCAATTTTTAGTTAAGATTCATTTCTGGAAACAATTAGGACATTGCAAAGTATTTTAACCATTTTCTGTAGATAAATGTTTAAATTATGCAGCAAAGTGATTAAAAACTGCAAAGACTTTTCACTGTCAATTAAAATGAGAAAATCCTCATTTGAAAGCAATTACAGCTGATCACATTAGTGTAAGTAAACAGAACGGTTTCTAGCGTTTCTGCAACACATTCACTATCAACACAGCAATGACCTGAATCAATACATAAATGTAGTTCTACATGTTCAGTTGCGAATGGGGGCCATACATAGTTTAACGTTACATTTCAAAATGTATTTAATCCCTATAAGTGGATCATTTGCATAACTGTTTAAAAACAATCCATCACACATATCCTAGATGTGCATTAAAAAAAAAAAAAAAGCAAACGCTTGTCCAGCAAAATGGCGAATGGCAAGAATGGCAACAGTTGCTAAAGTAGGATTGGTCAGTAGAATTTTAAGGCGGGGCTTAATGAAGAGTCAGTTTAAAGCTAGATTACATCATAATTCCATTGTTAAAAAGGAATCATCCCTATAGTATAAGAACTTTAAAGATGGATGCAATTGTCACCAAACACCATATACCGGTTTGGTGGTCATTTTACTCTTTACACTCGTTTTATTTTTATTCACATATAGTCTTAGTAATTATTCTGTATTTCTGCTTTCAAAGAAAGTTTCAATAACTGCCCCAACCATCCTTGGTGCTGTCCCTTCTCTCTCAGGGCTACTATAATGTCTCGCTAACACTTAACTACCAACCAACCCTCTCAATTCACACATCCCCTACCGGAAAGTGCTTCAGTGGTTGCATTTGTTGGAAACTTTTTCCTCGTCGAAGCAGAGACCAGGAGACGTTGGGATATGTTTCATACAGAAGTCACTCTTTATTGAGGACGAGAGCGTCGCTGCAGTCATCCAAGTCTGACTATAGCTCAGCACAGTAGAGTTTATACCTTTCAAGGGGGAGGGATACATAGAGGTGGAGACAATCTAAACAAAGCATGCAAATGCAATACAGGAATCAGCCCGTTACCGGAATTTCTCCATCCCTGATCTCATCAGCATAACAGTGTCATTCAAATGCATAGGTGCTAATCCAATCAGTCTGACAGTACTATTCCAATCAGCATAACTACTCAAAGACTGGGACAGAGGCACCAAGAGCCATTACAAACAAAAGGTGATCGTCTCAGTAATCTGGTTCATTTTACTAACAATAGGAGAACAGGAACAGACAGGAACCTTTTGCTACACTTTGCTTAAGATAATCATTTGTCTGATGTAATTTACCTTAAATGCTAAATACAATGTACTTCACCTTAGTTTTTCATGTGATGCTATGTCAGAACATAGGATCAGCATATTTAAAACAGATTCTTAAATTTGTAATCCCACACATTAAAACGGTGTAGCTGCACAGGAAGTCCAAGCGTGCCCTGATTCCAGTGCAATTCAGATTATTCTGCTCGGCTTCAAGGTTCCATTATTTCCCTTGTGACATCATTGTCTCAACATTCTCCATTCCACGGGCTGAGATTCAGGGCAGGATGGAACCTTGGGACATTTCTAAAGCAACAGTTGCCGGGAACGCTGGGCTAAGGCATACGAGAAGGGTCTGTCTCTTTCATGATAATGACCAGGAGTGATGTGGTGCTCTGTGAGTGCTACTGTCTTCTCAAAGCTAGTATAGGCCACAAAGGACGATGGCTGTCAACAAAACTTCTACAAACTTCCTGTTCCTCTAGCAAGCCGTATCAAATCTAAACCTTTGGTGGACCTGAAGATAGCTTATTTAACACTCAGCGATTGTGAAGGTAAAGTGTTAAAACAATCAGGTAACCTAAACAGCCTATATTATTGTAGGCTATTACTTTTTTTTTTAAAGAAATAGTAGTAATTTTAAAAAGCTGATTTTAACTGTATAATATTGTGCTAACAACACTTAAAGGGATAGTTCACCCAAAAATGAAAATTCTGACATTTACTCACCCTCATGTCGTTCCAAACCCATGAGACCTCCATTCATCTTCAGAACACAAATTAAGATAGCTCGCTGACTCTCCCATAGACAGCAAGAGTCCTTACACGATCAAGGTCCAGAAACGTAGCAAGGAGATCGGTAAAATAATCCATGTGACATCAGGGGTTCAATTGTAATTTTATGAAGCTACACCACGCGGTGTTAGCTGTGCCACACGGATACGTTGTTTTCATTCAAATCAAAGCGTAAATGATGTAAACAGTGTATCCTCGTGGCACAGCTGACACAAAACGGCATACGCAATTTATGTTCAGTGGATACTCTCCAAAATGGCGCTAGGGTGACGCAGAGGAGACGAATTGTTGAATAAAGTCGTTTTTGGTTTTTTTTACGCACAAAAAGTATTCTCATAGCTTTCTAAAATTACGGTTGAACCCCTGATGTCACATGGATTATTTTACTGATGTCCTTGCTATGTTTCTGGGCCTTGATCGTGTAAGGACCCTTGCTGTCTATGGGAGGGTCAGAGAGCCCTCAGATTCCATCAAAAATATCTTAATTTGTGTTCCGAAGATGAACAGAGGTCTTACGGGTTTGGAACATGAGGGTGAGTAATTAATGACAAAATTGTAATTTTTGGGTGAACTATCCCTTCAAATTATATATATATATATATATATCAGTCAGGTAGTCTCTCGGGGGTCAAGAATGACGATCGAGGCTTTGTGCAGTCATCTGTGGATCCTCATGTGGCTTCGAAGCCCAAAGGCAGAGGCACAGAGGTGGTTGCAGAGGGGGCAAGGTTCACCAGTAGTTGGAGCAGGGGCAGCGGCAGCTCTGTGTCTGCGTTCTCTTGCAGCTGCAATATGATGGTGACGATCCTCTTCAAATGCGGTGGCTGCTTTATTAGTTCGGTCGTGCCAACTGGCTCTGTCAGAGGCGGCAAGCTCCAGCTGCTTTGGGTTCAGGTCAGCCCATTTTAGATGTGACTTGAGGTTATCTTTGAATCTTTTCTTTGGGCACCCTTGGTGTCTGGACCCTGTGACCAACTCTCCAAAGAACACCTGCTTTGGCATCCTCTGCGGGTCCATGCGGATGACGTAGCCAGACCATCGGAGCTGCATTTTCAGAATCATGGATTCAATGCTTGTTGAGCCAGCTCTGTCCAAGACATCTTGGTTGGTGACTTTGTCCTGCCAGCGGATCTTCATGATTGACCGGAGGGAGTGATGGTGGAACTGCTCCAGCTGTTTGATATGTCTCCGGTAGAGCGTCCATGTTTCACAGCCATACAGAAGTGAAGTGAGGACCACTGCTCTGTATTCTTTGAGCTTTGTGGAGAGGCGAATGCCGCTGTGCTGTAGAACTTTGGAGCGCAGTCTCCCAAGAGCTTGACTGGCCTTTTGGACTCTGGTATTGATCTCCTGGTTCAGGGATCCGTCGCTGGAGATTGTGCTGCCCAGGTACTTGAAGGTGGTAACATTTGAGAGCTGGGTGCCATCGATGGTGATGCATGGCTGGTCTGCTGCTCTTCCTGGTGCAGGCTGGAATAGAACTTCTGTCTTGCTGAGGCTGATAGTTAAGCCAAAAAGCTTTGTTGCTACGGAGAATCTGTCTACGATGGTCTGTAGATGATTCTCTTGATGCGCCATGAAAGCACAGTCGTCTGCAAAGAGAGCTTCTGTGAAGAGCCTCTCCAGTGTCTTTGTTTTGGCGGCCAGGCGGCGAAGGTCGAACAGTGAACCGTCGATACGGTACCTGAAGTACACGCCCAGGTTCAGGTCTCTCACAGCATGTAGCAGCACTTGGGTGAAGAACAGATTGAAGAGCACCGGAGCGAGGACACAGTCTTGCTTCACGCCATTGGAGATGCCGAATTGATCGGATGGCTCTCCACCTGACAAGACTTCTTCTGTCATGTTGATGTGAAACAGCTGGATCAGTTTGGTGAACTTTGCTGGGCAGCCAAGTTTTCTGCGTATGACCCACAGGGTGTCTCTGATGACCATGTCGAATGCCTTGGTCAGATCAATGAAGACCATATAGAGGTTCATGTTCTGTTCTAGGCACTTCTCCTGCACCTGTCTCACAGTGAAGATCATGTCGATGGTGCTGCAATCTGGGCAGAAGCCACACTGTGACTCAGGCAGGTTCTGTCCATAGACTGATGTCAGTAGTCTGTTGAGCATAATGCGGGCGAGGATCTTGCCTGCGATGGAGAGTAAAGAGATACCTCTGTAGTTGCCGCAATCTGCTCGTGTGCCTTTGCTCTTTACAGGGCAACTATTATGGCATCACGGAGCTGCGAGGGCATATCTTCCTCTTCCCAGATGCTGGTCAGAACTTCATGGAACGCCTGGAGCGCCTCCTCACCAAGTGCCTTGTACAATTCTGCAGGGATACCATTTTTGCCGGTTGCCTTGCCAGAGCTCATTTGCTTGATGACCCTCTGAGCCTCAGCTACGGATGGGGGGTCATCCAGCTGCTCAAGAGTGGAATTTTGGGGGATCTGGTCGAGGGCTAACTGGTTGACTGCAGATGGGAGGTTGAGCAGTTGGCTGAAGTGTTCTCTCCATCTGTTGTTGATGCCCTGTTTGTCTTTGATGAGTGTGGTGTCGTCTGCAGAAAGTAAGGGGGCAGAACCAGATTTTGAGGGACAATAGACTGCCTTGAGAGATCCAAAGAACTGCCTGGCGTTGTTTGTGTCGGCGTAGTGTTGTATTTCTTCCGCCTTCTCCCACCACTGACCTTTCATCTTCCTGATTTCTCGCT